CTGCCAAAAAAAAAATATATATATATATATGATTTCTGTAAATTTCAAAAACAATTCCACCATGTATTATGATGTATTTATATTTGGAAAAAGGAAGTATGAGAATGACACCCTCAAGAATGATGGCTAGCTAGAGGATTATACCTCACTGTACTGAACGCAGTTATTTTTTTTTAAGTTTATTTATTTTTAGAAAGAGCACAAGTGGGGGAGGGGCAGAGAGAGAGAGAAAGAGAGAGAGAGAGAGAGAGAGAGAGAGCGTGCGCGCGCGCGGGGAGGGGCAGAGAGAGAGAGAGGGAGAGAAAGAACCCTGATGCGGGCTCAAACTAACAAACCATGAAATCATGACCTGAGCTGAAATGAAGAGTCAGACGCTTAACCGAATGAGCCACCCAGATATCTCTGAATACACGGTTATGGTTATGCCAAAAATGTTACTAGATGAGTAAAATGGGTATCAGGTTTTCTGATACAACTCTGCAGTACACTTCGAATATTTTACAAATTAAACTATATTTTAAAATGACAATCTATATGTAGTTATTTCATGACCTTGATATAGGCAAAGATTCCTAAATTTGAAGACACAGAAAGTACTGACCACAAAGGAAAATAGTTATAAACTCTATTACATTAAAATTGAAACACTCTACCCAAAACATACTATTAAAGGAGTCAAGGCAAGCCAAGAAGATACTTACAACACACAGATCTGCAAAGAACTGATGTCCACAATACATAAGAACTTCAATGAGGAAAAAGAACACATGACCCAAGAGAAAAATAAGCAAAAGACTTGAACAACCACTTCATAAAAAAGAATACTTAAATATTAAATATATAAATAAGCACTAAACAAATAGTGATCAGGGGAATGCAAGTGAAAACCACAAAACCATTCTATGAACAGAATGGCTACAAGGAAAAATACCAAACATTAGCCAAAAAAGAACAAATGGAACTCTCTTACATTGTAGGTGGGAATGCAAATGTGTATCAACACTTTTGAAAACAGTTTGGCAGTATCCACTAAAACCAAACACATGCATACCCTACTCTTCAGACCAGCACTTTTAATAGTGAAAACTAAAACAACTCAACAGTCCATCAACAACAGGATGGATAAATAAGTGCAGTCTATACGTAAAAAGGAATATTACTGGGGTGCCTGGGTGGCTCAGTCGGTTGGGCGTCCGACTTTGGCTCAGCTCATGGTCTCACGGTTTGTGGGTTCGAGCCCCACTGGGCTCTGTTTTGACAGCTCAGAGCCTGGAACCTGCTTCAGATTCTGCGTCTCCTCCTCTCTCTGCCCCTCCCATGCTCATGCTCTATCTCTCTCTGTCTCTCAATAATAAATAAACGTTTAAAAAAAAAAGGAATACTACGTAACAGTAAGAACGAGCCTACTATAGCAACCAGCTGCAAGAGGGCGAGGCTCACAAATATAAATAAAAAGAAGTCAGACACAAAGAGAACAGTCAGGTTTCGTTCAGATTGAGTTTAAGATATAAACAAAAACCAGTGTATGGTGGTAAAGTCAGAAGAACAAGAAAATACCTTTGGAGGACTATACCTGGTGGGAGGCACAAGAGTGTATAATTCTAGTAGTATTCTATGTCCCCAACTAGGTGCTGGTCATACAGGTGTTGGTGAAAATCCAACAAGCTGCCCACTTGTTTTTGCACTTATCTGAATGTATATTATACTTCAGCGAAATTGACGAACAAAAAATACACATAGAAAAAACCATGGAGAAACATATAACCTCAAAGGAGGAAAAACCCTTCCATAATCCATGAAAGACTGATAAATTTGCCTATTTAAATTTTTTTAAAGCATGTGGCAAAAATCACAATAAATAACATTAAAAGATGAACAACTATTAGATACAGTATTTACAATTTCTATGAAAAAGGGCAAAACAAACCAGTAAGAAAAAAGGCCCAATGACAAAATGGGCAAAGGGTATGAATAGAGAGTTTGGAGAAAAGGAAATATAAATAACAAAATATATGAAAAGATGTTCAATATCACCCATAAAAACACAAATACAAATTAAACCTACAGTGAAATTCCATTTTTTACCTTTCAGATAAAAATGTGACAACTCCCTCTGAAGAAACAGGTTTGATCCTTCATAGGATCTCTGTTATCTAGGACAAGTGCACATAACCATTTGAACCAGCAAATCCACCTCCAGGAAACTATCTTACAGATATTTGCCGATGTACAAATTCATGCATATATAGTGAATAAATGTTGAGAATATATTAAATAATTTAGGGTACATCCACACAGAATACTATGCAGTTTAGTTTGCTTTTTAATTTAAGAACAAAGAAGCATTCTACATACAGATATGGAAAATATTCCAAAAGTTATAATGTAAAGTTTAAAAAGGGTTAGTACACAGTCTAAAGGCATGGCAACTTCTGTATAAAAAAGAACAGATACACATATTTGAACATGTGTGTGTGTAAAATACCTTCAAAAAGATATCCAAGAAGGTAATACTATATAAGATCTAATTTAAAATGCCATCAATTGTAAAATGTGCATTTTATGGCCCAAATAAGAACAAGTGTCACCAATTAAATTATGACCATATTTCCTTATCACAAAGAATTGTATTTTATTCTTCCTGAAAAAAATGCCTTTGGATTTCGATACAAATATCATGCAATCTCATATGTGCTTACATAAAAAGGAAAATCGTAAAATAAGTTTTTACATATGAAATCTGCAGCTTCTGACTCATTGTTAACTAATTTGTTGATGATACAATGATCATCCTCTGTGCCATCAGATTTAATTTTTTTTTAATTTTTATTTTCGAGAGAGAGAGACAGAGACAACAGAGTGCAAGTGGGGGAGGGGCAGAGAGAGAGGGAGATACAGAATCCGAAGCAGGCTCCAGGTTCTGAGCTGTCGGCACAGAGCTCGACGCAGGGCTTGAACTCACAAACCATGAGGTCGTGACCTGAGCTAAAGTCAGACACTTAACCAATGCACCCAGGCACCCCAATAGATTTCTTTTTTTTTTTTTAATTTTTTGTTTAATGTTTATTTTTGAGAGAGAGAGAAAGACAAAGCATGAGCAGGGGAGAGGCAGAGAGAGGGGGAGAATCCAAAGCAGGCTCGAGGTTCTGAGCTGTCAGCACAGAGCCCAACTGGGGGCTCAAACTCATGAGCTATGAGATCATGATCTGAGCCAAAGTCAGATGCTTAACTGACTGAACCACCCAGATGCCCCCTCAATAGATTTCTTTTTAAAATGCTCTGTTGCCTCTATAATTTCCTTCTAAGCTGGGTGAAAGGGCAATCCTTTGCATTGTCTTAGTAATAAAACTTAGTAATATCACTGTTTCGTCTAATTTTCCAAATCTTCTTTTAGGTTTTGCTAAGTAGTCCTTCTCACACATCATTGTGCATACAATTGCTGAACTTTCTTTTATCTATATCCATCTATATGTATATATGTTTTTCAATTTATTTCTTTGCAAGGAATAAAGTTATTATTTTTTTTTAGTTCATTCATGATTCTGTGAGTTATGACAAATGGCATGGAGTCTAGGAACTACCACCAAAATCTGGTTATAGAAAAGATATCTCATTCCCCTAAATTCCCTTTGCTGTTTCTTTGTAGTCAAGCCTCCTCATTCTCCCTAATCCCAAACAGTGATCTGTTCCATTATTATAGGATTGCCCTCCCCAGATCATCCTATAAATGAAATCATACAAGTCATAATTTTCTGAGTCTGGCTTTTTTCACCTAGCATAATGCATCTGAGACACATTCCTGTTGTGTTTATCAAGCGGAAACTAGAGTTAACCGGAAAAAAAAAAAAAAAAGTAAGCCTTAATTGAGAAGATTTTATTAAAGAATATGAGTTTGGAAACCCTTATAAAAGAGTAATAGGAGTGCCTGGGCGGCTCAGTCAGTTAAGTGTCCAACTTGATTTTTAGTGTTTCAGGGTCGCTCATTGGAGATCAGCCTGGCATTGTTTGTGCTGGGAGCCTGCCTGGGACTCTCTCTCTATCCCTCTCTCTCTCTGCCCCTCTCCAGCTTGCATGCACATTCTCCCTCTCTCTCAAGAAAAGAAAAGAAAAGAAAAGAAAAGAAAAGAAAAGAAAAGAAAAGAAAAGAAAAGAAAAGAAAAGAAAAGAAAAGAAAAGAAAAGAAAAATTAGACTTGAGTTACCACATAACATAGTCATTGTTAAATAAATAATGCAATACAATTCGTACCTGATCATCATCTTCTACAACCACCAGGGTTAATTTATTCTTCTTAAAATCCAACCTGGTTATCTTGGGCCTATAACAATATTAGAACAAAAGCCAGATTTCAAATAAATGTCCTCTAAATTAAAAGAAAATTTTTGCTGTTATTTCCAGTATATCAATCATCTAACAGCTGAACTGTAAATTGATTAAGAGGGTGTTTACCCTCTTTACCTGTACTGCCCACCAACAAAGCCTCTAATCTAAAAAAATAATTAGGATAACAGAAAAAAAACATTTCAAAAGCAGGATCTCTAACAAAACTGATGGGGCACAAATATCAGACAGTAAAAATGTTACAAAAAAAAAAGAAAATGAAGAAATCCATTTAGTACTTTATAGGTTCCCAGCTATGGTACAAGAGATTCCCCAGGCCTAGTGTAGAGCAGCAGCATAGGAACTGGATACAGAAAGACTATAAAGGTTTTCTAAAAGGCATACATGAAAACAAATTTTTGATTAAGACCTGCAACTTTATTTTCTGTATCAATTTGTTTGAGGAAGTACATCTTTAAAAAAAGAAAAGAAAAAAGGTTTTTTTAAACCTCACTTTATGGCCCCTTTTCCAACTCTATCACCCACCTGTACTGAAATCCTCAACAACCTACCACATGTGAACTTTGCACTTCTGCAAACTGTGAATGTCAAAACAATGAAACTCTCATTCTCGCTAGTTTTTAAATATAACTTATACAAAATACAATTGTAAAACATAACGTTTTTACAAGAGTTGTACTAAAATAGTAAGTAACTAAGCACAATAGGTGGAGCAGGAGGGGAAGAACTAGCACTTAAGTGTAACAAATACTTACATAAGGCCTATCAAGTGTCAGGTAACCTTCTAGGTGTACTACGTATTAATTCAACAGATCCTCACAACAACCTTAAGAAGTGGTACAAAAGATGCTTTCTTCAACTCTCCAGCTACAGCATTCTCTGGCCATGAAGTATGTTCCATCTGCCCACAGGGCAAGCTGGAAGTGTCAGAGAATTAACACTCAAAGACTGGATAAATAAATACCCCAAAGCTCCTTCACCTATCAAGGGACAACTGTGAAGGTATTCCACTCAAGTCTCTCAGAAAGTCCCTAGCATGGATACCTGAATTCCAAAATAAATGAAATCTATCTTCAACTTTTTGAGGGAAAATAATGTTCAAACCTAAAATTCTATTCTCAGCCCAACTACCAAGAAAGCATAAGAGAAGAATAAACCATTTTAAGGCATCCAAGGATTCAAACAATTTAGCTCCTATACCCTGCTTTTCTTAGGCAGTTAGTTACCTGAGGATACAGATCAGAAAAAACAAAAGAAAGGAAAATATGGGACGAAGACACAGGATCCTAGCTGAAAAAACAGATGAAAGCTGTAGAGAGCAGTCTGGAGAGCAGACAATTTCAACGGGAACAGAAAAATCATTTAATGCAACCCTGAGGATCTGAAAGAACGTAAGGATAAGACAAAGGCAGGTAATTTAAAGCACTGCGTGGGGTGTAAGAAACTGAGGGGGAAGCCAAAAACTCCAGGAAAAACAAAAACCTATACAGAAAGAAAATGTAATTCCAGTTGTGAGTTCAAGTATTTCCAGACTGATCAGAAAGAAAGGATCATGACCTAGCTCTATTGTACAACAAACTTTACTGACAGGTAAACACCTGTTTGGACAGGGTTGCATGAAAAGGAAGCCCTTGACAACAGGAGATCCTCCAGAGATGACTGCACAAAGCTACCCCCAAAGCAGGGGAGACAGCAAGGGAACTTGTAGGAGAGAAGGGAATCAGAGAGGGGGCTTGGGTTTCTATGCAATGGCATTCAGCAGCAAGCGGGAAGTCTCTAGGTCAGAGAGTTCCGAAGGGCAGTAGCAGTTTGGTGTCTTTTATAGCTACAGGATTTGTCACATCTATGACCAGCTGATGGCAGATATAGTTTATAGGGGGACATGCAAAGCAGGAAGGCTCTAAATGATTAAAAATAAACTTATTGGGCTATATTTAAAGTAACTGGATATATAAGAAATTGACTTTGGTGCTGGTGGGCTTTGAGCTAACCATCCTGGCATGCTGTGAAGAAGTAAACAACATAGAGGCCCTTTAACTCATGTATATAACACCAGTACAGTGTGAAGTTCTCCACCATTTCAGATACAGGGATAACAATATGAACACTATTTCCTGATTTTCCACTTTTAGAACAAACCAGGCAAGATGTGAAGAACTTTACTATGGCTATGAAATCCAAGTAAAATCTATTCCTTGATAGGAAATGCAAATACAATTTTCAACTATGAGTTAGGTTGGGACTAAAAAGAGAAGCACAGCTTAAAAGGAGGGGTAAATATTTTCCTCTTACACACCAGGGAATATGGGGTAATATGACTGTGGAACAAGAAGTTCTAAAAGTAGTGATGTAATAACTATACGACATGAGAGTGTCCATGTGAACATTTAGTACATGTAGAAATAAAAAATATGTATCAAGAGATGTATATTGACATACCTTGAAACTAATGGAAAAATGGATGGAAGAGTTTTAAAAATTACCCCTGGGGGATGGGACTAAGAATGGGTAAGGAGTATGACAGGAGACAGGTGATTTTTATTATCTTTTCAGAATTATTTGATCTCCAAACTCTATTTTATGTATTAACTTGAAAGAAATGTTTTTACTCATTAAAAAAAAAAAAAAAAAAAAAAAACAACAACAATAAAAACCTGTAAGTATCTGTAATATTAACTCTGCTTACCAAAAAAATAGGCCAATTTTGGTCTCTCCTTCAAAAACAAGGACTCCTGTTGGGGTCAGTCCCAAGCTATAGTCATTTCCATCTCTAGCCTAATTTAAGGAAAGCAAAACATGTTAACTTTATTTGCATAAGACAGATATCACATTTTCACACAAAAGTTTATTTTCACATCGAATTATATTAACTATATACAGGCTACTATTAATATGCAAAATATTTTCAACAAATAGAAATATCCAAAATAACATTCTCAGGAAAATTCATGCATACATTTAGTTCACCGTTAACACCATAGTCTTTTTTTTTCTTCAATATATGAAATTTATTGTGAAATTGGTTTCCATACAACACCCAGTGCTCATCCCAAAAGGTGTCCTCCTCAATACCCATCACCCACCCTCCCCTCCCTCCCACCCCCATCAACCCTCAGTTTGTTCTCAGTTTTTAAGAGTCTCTTATGCTTTGGCTAACACCATAGTCTTAAGGTAGGTCATCACTGAAAATACACAGGTGTACTTCCACGACAAAGAAAGCTCTTTGCAGATTCTGCCTATAGTCTATTCACCACTTAAATCACCATTTTTAAAAAGACTACCTTTCTAGGGGCGCCTGGGTGGCTCAGTGAGTTGAACGTCTGACTCTTGACTTTGGCTCAGGTCATGATCTCATGGTTTAGGAGATCAAGCCCCATGTTCGGTTCTGCGCTGACAGCACAGAGCCTGTTTGAGATTCTCTCTCCCTCTCTTGCTGCCCCTCCCCACACGCATGTGCACTCACACACACTAGCTCTCTCTCAAAATAAATAAACAAATAAACAAACTTTAAAAAAACTGTCTTTCTGGAAAATTTTAACTTTTTAAACTAGAAATAAGTTAAATCATTATACAAGCTGTATTACAGCTTATCAAAGTCTTCTCAAGCTATAAATTTTCAACTTTGCTTCCTGAATTATTTTAATTTTTAAATAGCCTACTCAGCTTATGTGATGCCAGATGACATGAATGTTACATGAATATTACACTTAATAAGAATAAAAAGTGGTTTAAAAATCTAAAAAACATAGTAACACCTTAAAAACACAGATACAGCTTTTTGGAGATTTTGGTTGTTTCTCTTCTTTCTTATACTGTAACTTTATGTGAGATTTTCATATTTAATCTCAACCTTTATAACACATCCAAAGTACCCAGTGCTATACTATACCATCTCCATGCCCTCCTTCATTTTGAAAAAAGTCATAGTTACCTTCAATCTTGAAGGAATAAACTTTTTAAAAATCATCACAACACAGTTCTTACCTTGACCACATGCATATCAACCCCATACATTTCTAACCATTTGGCTTTATTCAGATAATTGGTTTCAGCTTGTGCTGGTGTCTGACCTCTGAAATTTAAAAAATAGTAATTTTTAATAATAATAAATGTAAATTCTATACCAAGGACGGTAATAGAAGAAAACATACAAAATCACTGCAGTGATGTTAAAGAAAAGTGTGGGCAAAGCCAAGTACCTGTATTCCTTCCACTTCTCAAAAATAGCCAGCTCCATCTCTTCAGTCTGAATGGGCACGAACCTGAACTCAGACACAAGTTCAGGACTATGCTCAGCAAGATCATAGTCACCAAGTTCAGCTACAAACATAAGTTGCACAAAGTTATATTTTGTTAATTAAGTTTATATCCTGCTGAATCTTTCTTCAGAATTCATTAATAAAATCTGCTAAGATTAGAAACGTTCTTTCTTAAACTATAGTAATTCATAACACCCAGATCATTCCCCAAAATAAATCTAGCTTAGATTTACAACGTGTCAACCAACATCTATACGCACAATGATATACTTGTGGTTGGTGGTATATTTTCAAATATATGTGTTTCTGTTCATTTATTTCATATGTTATAATGTTTAGCTTTTGAAAACCTCTTTGTAGACTTCCTTAGAGAAACACCTTTTGACCTTATAATGAATAAACAAAAATATTTAGCAACCTTTAAAAAAAACATTTAGCCAGCATCTATTAAGAATCCAATATGCAGAGGGGCACCTGGATGACTCAGTCAGTTAAGCATCTGACTTCGGCTCAGGTCACGATCTCATGATTTGTGGGTTTGAGCCCCACGTGAGGCTCTATGCTGACAGCTCGGAGACCAGAGCCTGCTTCAGATTCTGTGTCTCCCTCTCTCTTTGCCCCTCCCCAGCTTGCACTCTTTCTCTCAAAAATAAATATTAGAAAAAAAAAAAAAAAACTAATATGCAGAGAACATGACATCATATACCACTACAAGATACAGGCTCCGTCCTCCTGGAATTGTAAATAGATAATCCTAAAGAAATAACTGAAAAAAATATTAGTAAAAAGTATCTGGGGAAGGGAAGCAGTAGGAAAACACTTGGGCGGGGCACAAATAATCATGTGCCCATCTATGGTTAGCTCTGAAATATAGGTTTGGGGAAGAAGGGAAAATGATTCTAATATTTTCTTTACTTTAGACATTTCCCTTTTAAAGAACATCTTACTCATTTAAAAATTAAAATAGTTCATTTTTATTAAAAAAATCCACTTGTATAGAGAAAAAAATACAGAGATCTTGAGATACTAATAAAAATGGGAACAACTCATTATTTATTGAATACAGACTCTACACACTTGACATATTACAGATATATTGTCATCTATTTTCTCAACAACCTTGGAAAATATTATCATGCCCAATTTGTTGCTGAAGAAATTACTCTTTTGTCTGGATAATGGGTATTTTTTTTTCTGTTTTAGGTCACATTTTTAAGAAGCACCAAACCAAATCTTCTACCTAGTGTTGTTCAGGATATATATTAAAATGTCAAGGAAAAACTGAATTGAGAGTATGAAAAAAGCTAGTAACAAAAATTATTCTGATAAAATATAAAATCATAAACAAGAAACACAGAGCTCATTTTATGAAGATGGACTGTACTTCAGCAAATTTATTCTAAGGACCTTAAGACTTCGGATTTGGCAAAATATTAGACACGGGACACAGAGATGCACAACATGACCAGAAGTGTGGCGGAATCATGCAAATAATGGTGCTGTGGATGAAGGAGAAAGTAGGAAAGAACTTTTACTTAGGAAAAAAAAATGTGATAAGGAGGGTTAAGAGATAACAAAATAGAGCCACAATGCATGAATCAAACAATAAACATTTAGGGGTGCCTGGGTGGCTCAGATGGTTAAGCGTCCAAGATACAGTCAGATGGTTAAGCATCTAGATACTCCAATAGAACAGATTTCTTTCCATTTTGTGAATGAGGACTGAAATTACAGTTTTCTTAAAATGTCAATTTTTCAGAAAAAAAATACCTAAACTTAACAGTATTTCGTCAGTACAATAAGGTACAAAATTATAAGTTTTTTCATTAATTTCATTTATTGGAAAATACTTTAACCATCAGGAACTTTTAAATATGCTCTAAGTATTTCTTTCATGGATTCATTTTTAAGAATAAAACTAAAGAGGAGTGCCTGGGTGGCTCAGTCGGTTAAGCATCCGACTCTTGATTTTTAGCTCATGTAATGATCTCCTACTTCTTGACATCAAGCCTGAGTTGGGCTGTGCACTGACAGTAAGGAGCCTGCTTGAGTTTCTCTCTTTCTCGCTCTCTTTGTCCCTCCTTCACTCACTCTCTTGCTCTCTCTCTCCCCCTCAAAATAAACAAGACTTAAAAAAAAAAAAAAGAATCAAACTAAAGAAAGCAAAAATACAACTGCAAAAATCTCTTATCTCCCTGCATTCTTTTCAAGTTAAAAAAAAAAAAAAAGCTGAGAGTCCCCTTATAATATTTATTGAATTATCAAGTCAACAGCAATTTTGCTTGAAAAGAAGTTACAGATAGAAAGGGAGCAAATGAAGTGAAAGGGAAGAAAAAGAAGGCCATGTTCTTTAAACAAAGTAAAGTAATAAGGTTGGATATTGATACAAGTTAACAGTGGTGTTACTTTTCTTACCCATCATTTTGAATCTTTTGAAATTCTTAACTAAAAACACACAGAAAAGAATTATGCTTTATTCTTAACAGTCAACATAAGAATTGCTTACCTTGCAGATTATAAGCTGCCAGCTGAACTGCTGTATCAAAGGGACACTCTAATCTGAGACCGAAACACAAATTTGTTAGACAAGTCAACTTTCCAAGGTTCATTTTAAGATAAATGCAAATAATACCTACTTTATGTTGACCATTCTTTTTTCATAATTATGAACTTATTTTTCAAAATCATTTTCAACTACTTAATAAAATGTGGTTTACCTTAAATAACTAATACTCACTTTCCACTGAGAATATCTTGTTTTAACTGAAGAACAAATAAATACCTAAGAAAAACAAAAGGCACAAATTTAACTAAACAGAATAATCTACTATGAAAAATAATCCTACCCTTCTAATGTGAGAAGAAACATTTTTAATTACAGAATTTTACCTGCAATAGAATCTATAAAAGAAAAAAAATATGAAAAAAAATTGGGGCCAATAAGCCATCAGGAGGATGGCAGCATGTCCATAAGATAACTGAGTACAGTACAACCACCTTAAGATTAAAGGTTTTAAGCAAATTATGGAGAATGAGCTCTGTGATCTAAGTTTACATTACTCTCACAACACAAACCACCTGGATGTGAAAGGACACAGGCATATATGTAACTATGGAGATTAGCTATAATCTCGCTGGTAGAGGGTGCAAGAGAAGAAAACCCTTCTAAAGGGACTCAGCAATTCAATTTTTACTTAATAAATAGTATGTGTGAATGAATCATGCATTTACCATGTAAAATCAATCAATAAATATGAAGGAGGCAGGACAAAATACAAATAATTGTATATAACCTGCTTAAAGTTTGTTTAAAACTATTCAAACCAAATCAGGATTTATTATTTTTCATCAGTCAGTGAGCGGTATTTCAATAGGTAAAGAATATTAGGAGCCAACATGAATAAACTCCCAGTGGCCGAAGAGAGATCATTTTGAACACCAACAAACATAGCATGAATAAATATAATATGGCAACATATTCAAACACAGCAATCTTGTTTAAAATCCATGAGTTGAGGGGCACCTGTGTGGCTCTGTCAGCCAAGCATCTGACTTCAGCTCAGGTCATGATTAGTGAATTCAAGACTCGCATCGGGCTCACTGCTGTCGGCACGGAGCCTGCTTCAAATCCTCTGTCCCTCTCTCTTTGCCCTTCCCCTGCTCACACTCACTCCCCAAACTAAACATACATACATACATAAATAAGTAAAATCCATGAGTTGATGATAATTTAAAAAAGGAACTCAGTAGTTACCTTAAAGAATGCTAGGGAACCAACTCTTTATTTTGAAAACTGATAAAGGGAAAAATTCTACACTTAAAAACACTGTCCCAAAATGAAATTCTATTGTCTAACAGGTCTTATTACCAGGGATAAGAGATCCATTTCATTAGTGGTCTATAAACTGTAAAGAATTATAAAGACAATCTTCCAACACCTTTAGCTAGCTGACCAAAACTACTTTACCCCTGTACAACTCTAGAGAGTAGTCTTACCGGGTTAGCTCTTCACGAAGATTATTTGGTTCTGAGGAATAAAACTTAACTCGAAGATGCAGACAATAGGGTGAACCAACTGTTTAAAAAAAAAAAAAAAA